GGCCCTCAACAGTTGAATACCATCCCCAAGCCAACAGTGATGATTAGTCGAAGCATAATGAAACTAGCCAAGTATTTAGCGAGACACAATGATGAACTGGCCGATCAAGCACTTTTTGGGATTCCCAGCATAAAATAACAACACCTGTTTCCAAACAGTTAAAGTTAAAGATTATAAACTTACCGTTGCCTAATTCTGAGAACATGGAACGCACACGTGCCAATATGATTTTACGCGCGAATTACCTGTTACCCAGAATTAACTGAAACTGAATTCTGAAAGAGAATCTTATCGCGTCGCGCGGGGAATAATTTTGGTCACGTACATAATTTTGTGTTCCCTTTTAAATACAATTACCAGTGCAGAGAGTAGTTTCAGAAACGCAAATTCAACTTGCAAAGATTAATTTACCTGGGTAACCTCGCTCAGGCTTTTGTATTTATTAAGTTAAACACATTGATTTAACATTGAACATATTATGGCGATTAAAAATATGCCTATAGCAGATAGGGCGGAATGACAGGTTCAGCAACGCCCAGGAATTACAAGCAGCAAATTCTGCTACTGCTAGTGCTATCAGTATCACGGAGAATCGAAGCAAATATTATAGTGGTACCGTGGCATGTCCATTCTGGGTCAGCGTTGTATATACTTATATATGTTGCATGGATAAGTCCCTGCTTGCTGTTGGCGTTGCTGCGGCGAGGCTGGCTGGAATAATTGTCGGAGAACTCTTTGGCTTCGTACTCTCTTCACTTCTTTCTCCGCACAAAACTGTTCAATCCGTGGGAGGCCCTGTTATTCAAATAAAGTTCTGAACCCTCCATCAAGCGTTTAGTTCTAAAACTTTGGTAATGGAAATTGTAGTTTTGTAGCTTTTCTCATAACTATCGTCCTATCGAACTGATGATCAATAAACATCACGCGGTTTGCTACAATCAAGTTAGTATAAGCTTATAAGGAGTCGTTTACATATCAGCAGAGGGGTCTTCCAAATTGCAAATGATTACGATTGACCATATAATATTGCAATTTTGGCACAATAGTACAATACTAATAGCGATACCCGGATTTAACATTTAAACAATTTGTAATCGTATTGCCATGCAGTGTTTGTGTAACTGTAGTACTACTTGGTAATCGCTTTTCTTGTCAAAAAGTTAATATTTGTTTCCTTTGATAGTAAATTATTTTGTCCCAAATTCATATATTTTCTAATAATACAAAATTGTTTTTAGACCAATTATACAATGTCAATAAGTCATGTGGCATGTAAGGCGCCAAAGACAAATTGCTAAAAGGCTCGGCGCAACTGCAGAAAACTGCCACTAACTGCCACAAACTGCCACTAACTGCTACAAACTGCTACTAACTGCTACAAACTGCCACTAACTGCTGCAAACTGCGCGCGCAGTGCGTGGGCGCGATTGTAGCAGTTAGTGGCAGTTAGTGGCAGTTAGTGGCAGTTTGTAGCAGTTAGTGGCAGTTTGTAACAGTTAGTGGCAGTTTGTGGCAGTTAGTGGCAGTTTGTGGCAGTTAGTGGCAGTTTGTAGCAGTTAGTGACAGTTTCTTTGCACTTTGCTCCTCCTGTGAGCAGGGCCATTTTTTGTTTTTAAAAAATGACCCTCCTTGCTCCTCGGCCACGTGAGTATGGTTTTTTATTTTATTTTTTAAAATGACCCTCCTCGGCCATGGCCGAGGAGGGCCATTTTTGCGTCATATTGTTTGGCCCTGCTCGGCCATGGCCGAGCAGGGCCATTTTTAAAAAATGACCCTCCTCGGCCGAATGACCCTCGGCCACGTGAGTATGGTTTTTATTTTATTTTTAAAAATGACCCTCCTCGGCCACCACCACCGTATAAGGAAGTTAGTCTAATTTCTCGTTAGGGTTAGGGTTTCAGCATATGCTTTTGTTAACGATTGGGTTAGGGTTAGGGTTGGGATCAGATTAAAGGGTTATGGTTTCGAATAGTCGTTCAGGATCAGCTAGAGAACGGGTTGAAAAAGTCACGTGACAGTCGAGTGTAGAGTGATTAATCATCATCTCGTTAATGTGGCTCTTAATATATAAATTATTTGACGGATGTTACTCGTCTAAATTTCTTCGAAGTAGCGCGCGCCGCTTTCTTCTCAAAAAATATACACATAATTGTCAAAATGACCTTATATAAAAACGACCCTTTAAAAAATCGATATATTCCCTATCTCAGATATTGGGAGAAACATTTAAAAATTACCCTTGGTCTTTTGGCTCCAAATTCAAATTTAAACTATTTATATCAAAAAAGTTTTTTTGTTTTTGTGGCTTTTAATTGCTTTTAATTGCTGGTTCAGCCGAAGTAATTATTTTATAATCAAGTTTATTTTTGTAGTGTATTTAGTTTTCACATAGCCATGTGTATACGCCTTCGGCGGCCACGCGTTGATTGACGAGAAGCAAAGCAACGATCGACGATGCGTTTGCTCTAACCAGAGCCCTCTCGCTTGCAGTAGCGCGCGTGAAACAAGCGCGTCACGCAGTACGCGTAGGCACATGGCTATGTGAAACGATGCGTTGGAGGACTTCGCCGCTTCGACGCGCCGCGCGAACTAGCATTCTTGCTTCGCATCGTCGATTCGCAGAGCAACAATCTCGATGGGTTAACATCGACAACCAAACGATGCGAATCAAGAATGCTAGTTTGCGCGGCTAGTGTAATATGTAGGCTGGTTGCAGCAGTTTTAGAGTAGTTTTAGCAGTTGTGTAGATTGTAATTTAGTCGAAGCGGCGAAGTCCTCCAATGTCCAAGTCACGCGCTACTGCAATTCAAGCGAGAGGGCTCTGGTTAGAGCAAGATTTCTAGAGACTGTGAGAATTTTCACAGTACCAAATTTGTTATACTTTTTTTGAATGATCAATGAGTTTCGCCTAGGTGCCATATTTAATGGTTCGCGGCTTTTGGAACAAAAGTAGGTACGTGTAAAAGTTGGTTTACGAGGTCAATCCTTCGAATCTCGCCGATCTGCAAGCATATTCATTTAACCATTAATTACCATAATTTACAAATTGCAAATGTCTTATGTTTTGAACTTGAAACTGTTTTAGCCATATATAATTTTGTATCACGTTGTGACACCCAGGGTCGTTTCACTTTATCGTCCTGACGGTACAGGGGAGCCGCGGCGGGTCATACAACGTATGACAAATATAATTGTTGCAGACGTTGTCGAGAAAAATCTCGAAGATCGAGTACAATGTAGACCATAGACTAATTTAGCACTTGCAGCGCGATGCGTTACTGTGCCGCGCCGCGCACTCAATTATTTTGTAGGTTTACAACCTACCTTGTAGCGCGATGCACTACCAACTACTGGGTCGCGCGCGCATCAAATAATGCTTCTCGCAACCATTCTCTTCGGTAGATCGGCGAGATGCACCACTGTGCCTCACCGAGCTGCGAAGGATTGACATCGTGAGTCAATGTTTCTCTCTGTATCGTCGTAACGATAACATAGTGAAACGACCGTGGGGGTCACAACGTGATACAATAAAAATGTGAATAAATTAAATCCACCGTGTAGCAATTTTCGCTAAAAATGCTACACGGCGCTTGTTTGCCGCGCGTGCTTTTTTCGCAGAAATTTTTAGTTTTTGGCCTATAACTTGATTCACGATGTCAATCCCTCGCAGGTCGGTGAGGCACAGTGGTGCATCTCGCCGATCTTGCGAGAAGAATTATTTGATGCGCGGCGCGACCCAGTTATGTAAGTTATGTAAGTAGTGTATCGCGCTACAAGCCTATAACTTTCACATTTTCAATTATTATCACATAGTTATTATGGTATCGTTATTATGGTATCGTAATCAGCTCATTGAGAAGAATCTTTTAGTACTTATATTTTAAGATTTAAAGGAATTTTTTTTCAAAAGTTTTTAATCTGAACAAATTTTCGAAAAATTTGGTGCTTTAAATATTATAATTTTGGTACCAAAAGTTGCGTCTGATTAAGCTCATTAAGATCCTGTAAGAATTATTTCAAAATATTCAATATTTCAGGAGTTATAGGCATTTTACACTTTTGCAATGCACAGGAGACCCACATACATCTTGACGTAATCGTGCTACACGGTGAATTTTCATAATTCACAGTTAAAGGCAACTTTTGGTACCAAATTTATCAAAATCAGAGACAAAAAATTCTATGCCAACTCATGGCGCTTATTCATAGACTAAAAGCGAAACTGAAATTGATGAAAATTTAAAAGAATCGACTGTAGAGTGATTTAGCGCGACTGTTGAAGCTACGACTTGTAACATCACTGATTGCCAATCAATAGTGAATGTGAAGCTAGCTATAAGTATCAACTTAATAACACCAGAATGTGTGTGTGTCTGTGTGTGTGTAATTTCCGAACAGTTATACAAAAAAAACGGTAATAGTTACGGGACTGGTTTTTTCGGTATAGTGCTGACAAAACTCTGACGAAGCCTATAAGCGAATTTTATAAAAATCGGCCGGTGGTAAGTGGTTTAATTGATTATTTTGTTCCAGAAATGTGACATAAATGGATGGGAGAGAGAACGAGGAGGATAACATGTACCGTAATTAGTTTAGCCCCACGTAATGCTATAAGCTTAGAGCTCACTCTTGCGGCCGCTTTGTTTCAACTGTAGGGAGATTTCATAATTTCATAAGACAGCGTTATGCATGATATCAATATATAATGCGGTTGTATACTTTTACATTGCAACTGTGACAGTTAAGTCCCGGCCGAAGGCACGGGTTACACTAGTATTATACTGGGCGGCGCTCAGCCTGTCATTCCGCCTAATCTCTATTCTATGATTATGAACATAAATATAATAGCATGGGGTCCCCAGGTAAGTGATACTCGTAAAATATTTGTTCCAAATATTATATTATTAGACCGTCGATTGCTCTAACCAGAGCCTTCTCTGGGGGGGGGGGGGGGGGGGGCAATGATAATCCTTTATCCGGAAATAAAACGCGTTTTGTCCTTTAAAAACAAATAAGATAATTCGCCATAACAACTATCATCCAACCTCAAATCTCGAGGATTCTTTATTCATCAATTATCAATCATCAAGATCTGTTAAGAACTTGGAATAAGTATCTCCTTCAATTTCACTTCACAACTTACTCTCAATCAATTTCACTTCTCAACAATCTGCAAGAGCAGAAAATGGAATTTCACGTTTTTAAGTTTGTTGTTTTAAAAACAACGATAGGGTTTTAGGAAATATTCACGGCTTGCTACAATGAAAAACTATTTAACATATTATTAGTCATAGTGTTAATTTACATGCTGAAGACTGCGCCCCAATTGTATAAGGAAACAGTACACGCGCAAATTTAGTCCTATCTTAGAAACATAAAAATAACTAAAAATAAATTCAGTAAAAATTTATCAAATCAATGGATTAGTCACATGAAGACTAGAAAATACCGTTGCCCAAAAATAAAAATATAGGAACCGACCAAAAATTCTATCAAATAACAAATAAATTCTTAAAAAGTCACATAACTGCGACAAGAAGTTCAACACATGAAAATCGTCAGCGATGGGTGCACTCTGCTGGATTGGAGAACAAAAACCAACTAATTGACCAATTACACTAATTAATCAATGAAACAATTAACTAATCAGCCAATTAGTCGATTAGAAGGAGATTTTGCCAGTGTTATTAGTAGGGGCGTTGAAGAGATATTGTCCGTTTGTAACTTGTGGCTGGAGCTCCTCGTTCTCTCCGTCCTCACCTTTGTAGAACGACTCTATTATCTGAGATAAGACATCATGTGAGCAAGTGTGATGAACATGACAATTAGAAAATGTCTAAAGAGTCATTATTTCGGAATCAAATTAAATACCTTGATTCTTGACACAATACTATCATACACCTCACTCTCTTCCTACTTCTTACGAGAAAAGTCACTGATTGTTCAATTATTTAATGCGAAAATTTGTGTCCCTGATGCACAGGCTAAAATTTTGGCATTTGTGAGATTAACATGTTAAATTTAACATGTTATCAATGTGTATTCAGACGGTTAAAGTTGTGTGATGAATTGGTCCAACATACCAGGGCGGATTTAGCGTAGATACTTTCGTTTTCGTGTTCCTGCAGTTTCTCTATCAGATCCAATCCTCCACATTCCTCAAGCATAATAGCTACTTTACTGCATACCTCCTCTGATATCTGGGTAGATAACGTTTTAATTACCTCATTGATCGGATGTTTTGTGATCAAATTGCAGGACGAACTAGAGGCGAGCGAGCATTAACTGTAATTCATAATTAGTTAATAGGACGGGAAACTTAGGGCCAACTTATACGTAACGTCTATATCTAATAATTGTTGTTTTGATGATCAAATCAAAATTTACCGTATCGTACACTCAAAAATGACATAATTAACCAATTAACTAATTATTGACCTTGTTAGCAGCAGTGAGAATGTTGTGTATACCGTCCAGGGCCACAGTTACAGTACGAGGGTCCTGTACTGTCAGCATGTTGGAGAGAGGGGGCAGAGCCTTCAGTTCAACCAGTTGTAGTGTCTGTAATATTGGGGCCATTAGACAGAGAGACAGACAGAGAGACAGAGAGACATTAGACAGACAGACAAACAGAGAGACAAACTAGACAGAGAGACAGATAAACATGACAGACAGACAAACAGAGAGACAGAGAGACAGAGAGACAGAGAGACAGACAGACAGACAGACAGACGTCGCCACTGAAGTCATCTTCAAGTATTGTGTGAGTCTATATTAATATGATCAGTGCCGAGAAGTTTTCATCGTTTATATTAACTAGCAGGAACCCGTCTAACCCTAAAATGGTGTCAAGACTCAAAAGGCTAAAACAATTATTACCTATTTAATTCGCGTTTTTGACACCACTTTGGGTACCAAATTTTGGGCTCTAAAACTCCTATTTCTTGGTCAATTTTTTATTTTTTCATGCCGATTTGGAGGCCATTAAAGCATTTGACCCAGTCAAAAAAGTTTCAGTTGTATATCTTTGACGGTTTTTGCAGAAATTCGCGTTAAAGTTGATGCCGTGGTGTCAGTAAAATGGCACGGATAAATAAATATATATATATCGTCTCGCTTTATATATAGTAAGATTATGGCTTACTTATTCATCTTACCTAACACGGTGTTAACGATCTGAGCCAATTCAAGCCCTGAACTTGAAAATCTGACGTGTGGGTGAAGTTGTCGTAGTTGGGTGCAGTTGCCGTATTTGGGTGCAATTAAAATATGACCTGGGTGAAGTTGTCGTTTTGGGATTTAGGCTGATCGAGTGCCCTATTAACTGTGTGGGAACAAATTGAGTGAAGTTGTCGGTCACCCAATAGAACCTGTGTGTTTTATAGGTGAAACTGAATAAAACAAGCGTTACCGAAGAGGATTGTGGTTACTGGAAGAGTAACTTTAATTCTATATTATGTTTTAAGAAAGACGACACAGAGAATTAGAGTAGTTGAAATAATTATTATAAAAATTGATGTTTTTATATTTGGGACAAGCAGTTAAAAGTTAAATTAAAATTAAAAGTTAAACATTTGGAAAGATAACGCCTAGAACGTGGAACTCGTTTCTCCTTAACACGCTTTTCTCGAAGTTCACTCCATAGAAAGGCTTTCAAAATCACTTCATTATAATTTGTAGTCCAGCTCCAGTATTATTTAAGTGGTCTGTTCGGGATATAAAGCATACGCACAAAGGGTTACGTTGGGTCGGAAATGAGCGTGCAACTAACCCAACTAAGCAATGCGTTGTTGTCAAGCACACTGTTGATACTGTTCTGGAGGTGTGAATGAAACCATAATTTGGAGAAGCAATAATATACAAGATAATACATAAGATATTGTTGGACACGCTTTCTTTTAACGCATTAATATGCAGGACAATAAAGGGAGCGGTTCTTAATATTATCAAATCACTTGTTCAGTGTTCTCAAGGTCTTTGTGGATATGAGCCATTATATATATATTAGTAGATGGAGTTGCTATGATATTTGAACTTAAATTCGCATGTAAGATTTTAAGAGCTCTTTTGACGGATCATACTCAATATATTATAGTCTATCTTAATACATGCGTGTCTGTTGTAGCGAATGGAATGTTGTTTAGAGTTGCGGAAAGCTTGGTATGTCGTGAGTAAAGGTCAAATTTTCGTAAAACTATAGTTTACATTCCTGCTAGTACCTAATCCATGAAGGTTTGACACTTAACAACTCCAACATGTTCTTTGCGCCCTAGGCCTAGCTAGGTTTGTAATATTTATCTATTCCGATTAATTTCAAGGAAATAGGCACTAATTTTTAGCTTTATGCATCTAAATTTACCCCCGAAAGAAGACTGGTGTTCTGTAGAATGCAGATTTGAAAGAATTAGACTTCAAAAGTTATTTTTTGCTGTAGTTGTATCGCACCCTTTTAATAATAATATTAATAATCACTTTAAAAAATATCACTAATTATCAGGTCTCAGTATTTAAATAAATTTAGCAAGATCGACCCTTTGAAGCTTAGGTTTTTTGAGTGCTCAAAATTGTTTTTTAAAGTATTTCTGAGATTTCATGAAATTTCGATGTTATATTAGATCAAGAATTTAAGACCAGCTGCAAACCTTTTAGCACAAAGTCCATCCAGTTTAATATCTATTTAAGAGATGTAAGTTAGGATAGTATTAATTGAGAGACTACTTAAACGGACAAGATTAACAGAGTCGGACGATTTTTCTATAGTCATTCAGTATTTGTTTACAGTATTTGTTTACAGTATTTGTTTACAGTTTATTTTTTCATCTAATGTGCTATACAAGTTTTATTATTATTATCGTGTAGTGTCATTATTATAGGGAGTTTCTAGTTTTGTTTTGTTGATACTATCATATTTTTTTCTAGTGACGTGAGTAACAAGTAGTGACCCAAAAACTCTACTAGCAATTAGCAGAAAAATCACCGATAATAACTTGACTTTAAAATTCTGTTCAGTTTGAAGTCACAGTGCTATAGAAAGCACTGTGACGTCAAACTAAACAGAATTTTGGAGGCAACTGAACAGAATTTTGGAGGCAACTGCTAGAAGTAGAAGTACAGGATTTGCTGACATTTTTGGGTTTATTTGCAAACTTGACATAAAATATGCACGTCGTTTCAACCTGAAATTAACAGTCGACTATTTCCTCAGACATCTTGTAGGTTGCAACATAGTAATGATCCAGCGTTGACACTTGACAGTTTAACACATTGCAACTGCAGGACGAAAATTAAAAAGAAGCGCTGAATTCCTTACGGACACCGTGATAAATACTACTAATATACTACTAATTACTACTAATATAATATACTAGACTAATATACTAGACGTATCATGATAATTAATCAAATTATGTGGCGTGAATAATATTATTTCCCGGGTGTAAATAAATTGTTATTTTCTGAACTCTCTCAGGGGTAAACACTAAACACCGCGCAGGTGTTATCGTAGTATTTAAATGTCCCATTTTAAATACCTCTTTTTGGGCGTTTAGCTCGTTGTTAAATGTATTTGAGATGTCGTTTTGTTGACTTGAACGTTATCAAATTGTTTTTTTGTAGCTCCCCAATAATCAATATGTCCCATTTTAAATACCTCTTTTTGGGCGTTTCGATTTAGCTCGTTGTTAAATGCATTTGAGATGTCGTTTTGTTGTCTTAAACGTTGCCAAATTTTTTAATACTCAAACTTATTTTGTTAAAAAAAGAGGGTACCGTTTAATCGCGTTTGTTAAAACGATAGATAAGAATAATTATGCTCTTTAATGTAGGTTAGATTACCAGTGCCCATAAGCTTAAATAATCAATTCTCCAAATTTATTTCATGGGATAAATATTTACAACTCATCCTGTTGGGCCGTCCCCAAAATATTCCTTGAAAAACTAGATGTCGTTCACCGCAGACATCTTCGCACTATTTTGAATATAAAGTACCTAGGAGTCATCTCCAACAAAAACTTGTATAAACGCTGCAATGTTGAAAAAGTGGCCCGTAGTCGGTGGAGAATGTTAGGACATGTTTTTCGGGGTCATATTGACGGACCAGCGTTTTCTTCCCTCATTTTTGCCATCAATACACTGGACTTACCAGGGAGAAGAGGAAGACCCCAAAGCAATCTATTCTCGCTGATTGTGCATGATTTATGTAAAAGAAATCTTTATTTGAATAATATCTTTGACCTGCATTATCTCCGTAATTTGAGTTATGACAAGAGATATTGGCGGAAATTGCAATGAAGTTCTTTATTTTTAGTTCTTGTTTTAGGGAAAGATTAGACTTGGGCGTTGTTTTTTAACTATCCCTTGTTTAGAACTTTGATTTAATAGGATAAATATCCACTTTTTGCAATTGTTGACTGTAGAACAAGTTGCAGATACACGTGAACATGTCTAATCACGGTATACTGCGGTTATAAAGACATAGCTGTGCGCTATCAACATCTTGTTAATTAATTGTAAAGCTCGTTCCAAAATATTGTCTTGTTTGACCAAACCTTTGAATGAAAAGTGGTAACCAGGGGTAACCACTAATATAATATAACCAGTGAATGCCGAGTTTTTTTCTTCACAAAACTTCTAATTATCACCCAAATGTTTGAGGAGGATGAGATTTGTAGCCCTAATATAAGCAACAAGTAACCATTGTACATTAACCACGCCTTTAAGTGTGCACTAACCGCGCCTTTAAGTGTACACTAACCGCGCCTTTAAGTTTGTACTAACCGTGCCTTTAAGTGTGCCTTAACCGTGCGTTATATCGACAGGTAACCGAATTGTTCAACATCAGTACTTTTATAAAAGCTATCCGTACTCCAAGATCTTTAATTACGTAATTTAGTTTGGGACCGACACCTGACAAGATTATTGGCTAAATACCAGACGTGCCAATGTTGGTGGACTGGAGCTCAGATATATTGTAATAGACTCCGGTATTGACATTTAGTCGAGCCTAGCAAAGTCAACTATCTCGATAATATGTGCCCTTGACCTCATACTTTCACTCAGTTGCTTTGACCTTATATAAAATAATCAGGCCACTAAATCTGTAGCTTCTTTTGACGTGTACCTTCTTTAAATACTCTAGAAACAGTACATAAACAATGAACACCACAGTAAATCTTAAGTTCGTTTATTTGATCTTGTAGAAGTCGGATCAACACCAAATAACTTACCTTCTAAGGTAAATATACTGTAAAATAATATACTGTAACATTAAGTTTAAATTAAGCTAATAATAAGTTAAATCTTTAATAAAAGTCTTGTGCGTGGGTAAGTTGTAACAGTTCTGGATAACATAACCTCTCAGATTGCTCACCCACCCAGTCACACACGTGCTCACTATTGATGAGTTTTGGTGCTCATTATATTGAGTCTCTGTGGTTATCTTGCACGGTTAAACACTCTACATCTTATACACGGTACATCATCAGATTGTATCCTGTTTTTTGTTTTCAACAATACTTTTCTTTTTCTCGCACGGAGCTGAGTTTAATCAAATTAGGAGGCTC